AAGCATGAAAGAAGAAGTGTTGAATTTGAATTGAGATTCTTTGGATATGTTATATATATATATATATATAACACATCCAAAGAATCTCAATTCAAATAGTCGATACAGCCTATTTCGATGTTATTACATGATAAATAAATTGTTAAGTTGTTTTTTCAGAATTTGACTGTTAGTGTAAGCATGAAATTAATTTCTGAATAATTATTTTTGAACAAACTAATTAAGGTTATAGGATGTTTTTAATTGGACTGATATTTTTTATCTAGTCTACTTAAGTCTGATCTGGTCTGATATGACCTATGTGTATTTTACAATTGGCAAAGTCTGATCTAGTCAAGTCTAGCTAGTCTGTTTAAGCTTCGTCTAGTCTGATCAGATTTGCTAAGTCTGCTTAGTCTAGAACTTAAATAAGTCAAAGTAAAAACATTCATAAAGTCCGAATTAAAATCATTCGTGTATGTGTTTATTGAATAGTGATAATTGATAATAGATATTTATCACTATATAATGTGATAATATGGGATTACAATTATGTTTGTCTTATAAGATTGTGATCTAATTGAAAATAATTAAATATTTTAAAATAATGATAATAAATATTTGAAAGATTTCTATAAATAGGACTAAATAAAAGTAAAATTGCAACAATAAGAGCTTAAAGCATACATTCTCAAAATAGGACTAACTCTTCCTATTCTACCCTTTCCCTTGTCATTCTTTATATGATTTGTTTTTGTCATCTTTATAGGAATTTTTAAAAATTAATAATAAAACAAAAAATAAAGAAGAAATGGTCTCTGTATAATTAATAGACTATTCAATTCCAAAAATATTGGGGTCATTTGGATATTAGCGGATTAGAGCAAACCGCCGTTTTCCAACAAAGGAAAACGCTGATATTTTCAGCGTTTTGGCCCTGACCCGCCGAAAAACAAACGTCCTCATTACCTTTTTTATCTTCCAAAAATGTGACCTAGATCTAATAAACTGACCTGGAGCAAATAAACCTACCGATCCGTCACCCCCATTCCAGCACACTTCCTCTGCCACATCCATTCCAGCGTAGCGGAGATGGCCATCTGCTTCACATCATTTGCTCGGAAGTGGAGCTCGGTTGACCGCGCCTTGCATCATCAATAGCCGTCTCATCGTTGCATCTTCTATTTCATCGGTCACCGCCACAACTCAAATCCTCATCATAATATTCTTCTATTTTCTTCGTTTTCATATCACTTATTGCCACCCTCTCCTTGTAGAGCTCGATTGGAACGAAGATCAGAGTTGTTGGATGGCTGTCTTTGGCCAGATCTGCCACCTCTGTCGACGGGTAGTTGTCACGAGGTGGGCCACGGTGGCAGCTAGGGTTGCAGGCCCGTCGACGGCTGCGGCTAGGGTTGCAGGTCCGTTGGCGATTGCATTGACTAGTCTTACCGTTTATATTTTTTTTGAAGTTACCGATCATTCAGTTAATGCTACGCACGTTTAGGATTGGAAAGAATAAACATTATTTCTTTTTTAAAACCTTTCCTTTAATAATCATTGTCTTCATTGTGCTCTTACTCGGACATGATTTTTTTGTTTTTTCCATCAATTTCTGGTAGCCCTCATCGATCTTCTATTTACACGGCCATGGAAACATGTTTTTATGTCCTTAATTTCATATTTTACTTTTAATGTTTAATGTCAATGCTCTAGATCACTTCTTGTACAAGTGTTTATTTATGTGTTCCACATCACCGTTTATGAAAGAATCACACGTATTCAGAAGTTCCAACTTTAATGGAACTTAAGTTGTTCATGCTACGCATTTTCGGTCTTGTTTTATTTCTTTTATATGACTCCGTGTTTTTTTAACCTCTGCTACATTCACCGTTCATGTTATCTCATGCACATTTTATTTATATGTCATGTACAACTACGTATATGGTGGTTGGAACCGTAGGAGAATCAAGGACTTGTGAGATATCTCGCGGTGTGATGAAGTATTGGATTCCAGAATGTAATAGTGATAGTAAGCCTATCATTGGGAAGGTACTCAAAACTTTACAAGATGGTATTGACTTCTATAAAGAATATGCATCTACGTGTGGCTTTGTTCCGCGCCTTTCAACCCAGAGGAAGCACAAAAATGGTTCGATTTTGTCAAAACATGTTGTTTGTAGTCGTGAAGGTTTTAAGCCTGGTGTAGTTGTGCAGACTGAAGGTCCGATCCACAATGGGGATCCTTTAATTGAGAATCTTAATGTGGAAAATAATCCTTCTTCATGCATGCAGAATTCAAGCCTTGATAATAATATTTCTACATTGGATGATGAACCTGATTTGACGTTACCAAAATCTTCAGAACAGTGCATTTTAGACGATGATTCCAATATAAGGCGTCGTGTATCTACAAGAAATGGTTGTACTGCGTGTGTAGTCTTTAAATATTGTGGTCTGGGTTGTTACTCCGTGTGTAAGTTTGAAGAGCATCACTGTCATCGTATGTGCAATGAAATGTACAAACAATTTCTTAAAGTCAATAGAAATTTTGATTTTGGTCATAAGAAAATTGTCATCAATTGTGCGAAAGCTAATATTGGTCCAATGAAATCATATAAACTCTATAAAGAGTCTGTTGGTGGATATAGCAATATTGGTGCGACTGCTGTAGACTTCAAAAACTTTAAACGAGATTTGAAGGCATACGTTGAGGGTGTTGATGCTCAAATGCTGATTGATAAGTTATTTAGAAAGGCTGAAGTGTGTTCATCATTTTTCTTTGATTATGATGTCGATGATAGTGATCAGTTGACTAGGATTTTCTGGGCGGATCCGTTTTCTAGGCAAAATTATTCTTATTTTGGAGATGTGGTTTCTTTTGATGCAACGTACGATACAAACAGGTATGTTTTAATACTCATTTTTCGTATTAGTTATTGAAAAATTGTTTGATTAAGATGATTATGACATGTTATATTGTTGTGTAGGTACAATTTGGTTTTTGTGCCTTTCACCGGGGCAGACAATCACCAAAAATGCGTGACTTTCGCTGCTGGGTTAACTTTTGAAAGAAGATGTAGAGTCCTATGTGTGGCTTTTGTCCCGATTTATCAATGCGATGGGAAGTGAACCAACATGCGTAATAACAGATCAAGATCCAGCTATGCGCATTGCTATTGAGAAGGTAATTCCTCACATTAAACATCGTTATTGCATGTGGCATACAATGAAAAAGTTGACAACTAAAGTAAGTCTAGTGCTTAGTAAGGATGTTAATTTTTTGACAAGGATTAATGGTGTTGTGTGGAGTCACTATTTAGAGCCTATTGATTTTGAGGCTCAATGAAACTCTATTATGGCTCATTTTGACTTATTGGACCACAAATGGGTTGTAGACTTGTTCAATCTTCGAAAGTTTTGGATTCCATCTTACTTTAGGGATTTGTTCTTGGGAGGTTTGCTTCGAAGAACTTCAAGATCTTAAAGTGAGATTTTTTTTTTGCCGAGTTTACTAACCCCTACTTTAGCCTCATTAAGTTTTACATGCAATTTGAAAGTACAATGGATGCTCAACGCCATAATTAGGATAAACTAAATTCAGGTTCCGAGTCCTATATTTCTGTTTTTAAAACTCCCTTGCCTATTGAAAAGCACACTGCGGAGATGTATACTCTCACAATTTTTTATTTAGTGCAAGATGAAATTGCATCTGCTTGTTTTAGTTGTCGTGTGCTTAATGTGCATGACCATGATGGAGATTTGGATTATGTTATTCAAGATGACCGTGGTATGATTTTCAAGGTAGAATTCAATGTTTCTCCTACCAAGGCATCTTTCGAGTGCAAATACTTTCTTTGATTGGGGTTGGTGTGTAGGCATATGTTTGTGGATTTCAAAGACTTGAAGGTGAAATTTATTCCTTAGCACTATGTTGTTAATCGTTGGTGTAAAAAGCGTCTACTACAACCGCTACATGGTTTAGCCGATGTTTTAGTTTAACAGTGTGCTCAAATTGAAGAGAAGAAAAAATTAATGCAGCAGGTTTGGACAGATTTGCACTCTTGTGTTGCTCTAGCTGAAAAATATCTAAGCAGCCTAAAACAATTTGCAGGTGTTATTAGTCAACAAAAGCATGCACTTCTATCCGCTGACCAAAGTGATCCACTCCCTACGACATAGGATTCCATGATCCAACCATTTTATGGGGCGAGTAGACCTTCTGATGTTAATGTGTTGCCTCCTCAAAAGGCCAAAAATAAAGGATTTGGAAGGAGGATAAAAGGTGCATGAGAGGTGTCCATTGAAGAAAACAAGAGACCAAAGAGATTATGTAGGTCATATAATGAAATGTGCGATCATGATAGTAGAAATTGTCCATTAAACAAATATGACTAAATGTTGTATAAGGCTTTTAGGTTTATTCGTATTGACATGCTTTAATTAACAATGTTGATGAATTTTAGTTTGTTTATATTTTGGTGTAAAATTTCTTCTTCCTATATATTTGTTTCTTACTATTACTAAACTTTGTGTGCTCTTCATACTCAATCTTTAAATAAGCCCTTGTTCGGATACATTAGTTTTTCACTATTACATGTTCTAATTAACAAAGTTTATACCTATTATTTTGTTTATATTTTTGTTTATACTTTTGTGAGTTTACACCTTTCACACTGTGTGTTACTCTAATTAATGAATGATGTGCACATTGGCAATTCAATTCTATCTTCTAATTCACATTCATCTTATGCACTTGTATATAATTCAATTACACTAAACTTCTCCCTTTCAGCATTTCCACAATAACAACGATTACTTGCACAAAATGTGGTTTCACATTCGCATGTTCTTATTCATGCTAACTAACACAATCGTCATCCCAGTCCCACAAAACTTCAGGTCATTCGCACTCTCTATTGTCACTATTACTTGATTGATTTGTTTCCCAAATTCACCACAAATTTTTTTCAAAACCATATGCCAAAAGCATATACAACACGGCTTATAAAATAGCAATATAAAATAATCCAAAATATTTTATAATTTCAGCAGTCAATTACTCAACCTTTTGTTCACCACTACATTTAAAGGAAAATGAAATATTACCCTAAATCCACTGGCAAGAAATAAGTCATATGCAACATGCAATAAAAAACAACAATTAAAAGTAATCCAAAGCATTAAAGTGTTCAAATGTTATTAATTTCCTCTTTCCAGTTTCCTGCCTTCTTTTCTTCTTTCTTCTTTTTTTCATAGTCACGCGCACGCATCAATACTTCTGTTTTCAGCTCGTTCACATCCGCACAAAGCATATCAGCAATGTACTTCAGCCGCAGTGATGCAATCTGCCTCCTGTCATTTTTCTTGAGCCCGCACTCCCAAGCTTGAACACCTTCCCCTTTATAGGTTTTCATGTGCCTCATGCAATATATTCCATAGTCGTCGGTGTTTTTTTCATCCCTCCGCGTCATTAACAACCTTTTTTGTTTAACATTCCTTAGCATTGCACCTTTTGCATCTAAAGGGTCATATTTCACATACTCTAGCACCATATCTCTCTACAGTAGTTCATAATATCATTAACAATATGGTTTTTCTACGCCCCATAAACAGTATGAACATACACGGATATATGTGTGTGTGTTATGACTTACTATGTTTTCAGCCATTTTTCCATATCTATCACCTTTCGCAGAAGAGTTATCTAGATTATCAATTTTTTGGGTTTTCAGATTGGCACGAATCACATACATGTGTTTGGTCTGCACAATAGGAACAAAAATATGCACACACATAGATATGCATATTTTTTTTTTACTATAATCCAAACACCAAAGCAATATCAAGCAACTAACCATATCAATGTCACTAAGATTAACAAAATCTTTCATGACTTCCAAAGCATCCTCTATTCCTTCTCCAAACAGCATAAACTGTTCGTGTGCTATCATATTTTGGGCATCGGTTGTATAGACCTGAAAATCTATTCAACACATACTATTATGGGTTCATTTTATTAAACGTATGAATTTCAAAATTATTTTACTTACACAAGGAAATAGTTTTGTGAAAAGACGTCAGGGTGAATCTGTACTCCTGTGTTCTGCTCTCGTGTTCAGAACTTTTACCCAAGTGCTTATCACAATACTCTCAATATGACCATTGCCTTTCATGCATCTAATATTTGTTTTTGTTGCACAGAATTCCTTGACTTTAAATACTACCTCGGCACTGACAAAACAATTATGTATAACTAATTTGGGAATTATATTAAGGCCATGTTTTTTTTTTAAATTTACAAAGACTAGGATTTACCTATCCCCATTTGGATCCAGTAATACCCATGCAGCAACTGCTTTTTCAACAACCATCAATGCTTCAGTGGGGTCCACAGCTCTTGTGACGAATGGTGATTTTAGAGGATCCATTGTTTTGACCTTTCTTTTGACTCTTTCATCATTAGTGGTTTTGTGCACCAGTTTATATATAATTTGTAAAATAATCAGTACACTAAGTATTTCTCATTTCACCAACAAATAATTCATTGTAAATGTACGTGTTTGTTATGCTCAATCTCCACCATCAACTTACCTTCATTAACCTATAACTCTTCATAACCTCAAAATATGTACACTAAGTATTACAATTTTTGCCACACTAACTACGCGACATAATCTACATGCTTATCATTGTCCTTCTCAACCACCACATCACCTCCATTAACCTATTACAAATGATAATGGTTGTTATTAATCACATTTATGCACTCTAATACATGCACAAACTTTAACCAACACAAACTTACATAATTAATCCACTTTATGTTGTTAACCTATAATTTTAGCCTAAAAGCGTACCTCCTCATTGCTCTTGTGCACCTCACCTATGATCAACCTCGCTTCATTTTGCTCCGGTTCAGGCTGCGTCAATCCCAAGCTGAAACTGGGAATGCTTTCCAGCGCACGTCTAAAACGAGTCTTTCTCAAACCATACTTTTCAGCTTCAATTAATGCATCTAAATTGTGTGGGTCGAACCAGAACACTTCATTCACGTTCATATCTTCACTTTGGTGTCTCGGCGTCTCACTCTGCCCTTCATCTTGTTTTTTTTGCGAAAGCAATCAGTACATTTGCTGCTTCCAAGATCTTCCCCAATCTGTCTTTCCCTCGAATGTCACTGGGGGCTTCTCCGATCAAAGTGACCATGTCACTCGCTATTGAGGCTAACATGTCACTTTTTGCCTCCAATTTTAAATAAAAATCCTGTAAGATATCTCACAAAATCACTTCATATGTTTCAAAATGCATTCTAAAGATTCATAATCATACTATATATATAGGGTGCGGTTCCAATGAGAACGATGCTTAACGTGAGAACGTGAGAACACTCACAATTAACCCAATGTGATACACAATAGATCCCGTCTGGTGCACATATTGACTTTGCTCAAAATAAACCTATATAAATATTCACGGTGGCATTCTTGTAAATATTATGCTGAACACGAAAAAGTGCATTGAGTGAGTCTCATTGTGCATCACATTGGGATAAATGTGGCGTTCTCACGTTCTCACGTTAAGCATTGTTCTTATTTGATCCTAAATCTATATATATATATATATACATCTAAAAGTGTACCAATTCAAATTCATGTAGAAGCTGCATCCCCTGCCCCTCTATACTTTCTTTGCTTTCCTTCTCTTCTCTGCCTTTACATTCATCCATCTTTAACCGCTCATCAATGTAACCTAAACCGAAACCCCCAGCCTATACCTCCGTGTTTTCTCTTCCCCTCAAAAGAGTTGTTGTCCATCCAGTTACTGCCAGAACTTTCTTTGGTATTGTCCTCTTGTAAAGCACCACCCTATCCACATAAAACACCTGCAATTTTGGCAATGTTAGTACATAATTTTTTTTTTGTTTTAATGCATTGCATCTTACCATCAAAAACAGGATCGACCCACTGAAGATTTTGAACTTGTTATTCTCCAATGCTTCTCTGTTCTCAATTAGAGTGGACATCACATATTCGCACCAGTTCAGTTTCTCAATTCCTTCAATAGTCTCGAATACATTCTTTCAAGTGCACCATATCCATCTCAACCAGGACACTACTCACAATTTTCATAACACAAATACTAAAACAACCTTATTCACACAAATTTTATATTGCGGTGCACAAAGACATATTTCTTTTTTAAATTTCTTATAATCACCATTCTATTACACAAACCAAGAAACAAAGTACACATTATGCAGTTCATTGTGTATTTATTGAAGTACCAAAATTATGCCACACCAAAATCACAACAACCATGTACACTACCACAACCTTGTCATTCAACTTGCACTACACTTAACAATTTCACATTATGCACAAACCTGTTACTTGCACAAACCAGGACACTACTCACAATTTTCATGACACAAATACGAAAACAACCTTATTCACAGAATTTTTATATTACGTTGCACAAAGACATGTTTCTTTTTTGAATTTGTTATAATCACCATTCTATTACACAAACCAAGAAAGAAAGTACACATTATGCAGTTCATTGTGCATTTTCTGAACTACCAAAATTATGCCACACCAACATCATAACAACCATGTATACTACCACAACCTTGTCATTCTACTGCACTACACTTAACAATTTCACAATATGCACATCGATAATCTGTTACTTGCACAAACCTGATCATGCCCTTCAAAATCATGTTATAGCAAAACAGACCCACACCATCATCTCAGAAATTAAAAATACAAAAAGCTGGATGATTTCAAATCCCTCTGTTTAACAATTAAACTGCACAAAACTACATATTACTCGAACCATTCATTCCAAATTCCAAATGCGCATATATGTTAACAATGTCCCGTTACAAAATCAACCAAAAATACACACATGCAATTGAAAATCCGTCCAAATCTAACCAATAAACCCACTTAGTGTTGCACTAAATGCACACTAACTTCATCTACTAATGCGAGCACATACCTTCTTGATTATTAGAAATTGGATTCATCATTTCGAACTCTTCTTTCATAGAACTCATAGTCGTCGTTCATGAGTATTTCTTCTCTCTGCAGCTTACTTCCTCTTTTACTTCGACGGCGGAAAGTAAAATTAATATGCTCAATTATCAATTTTGGTAGTTACCATATCTGAGCCTCTTCATTTTTGTCAGGTTTGTGATGAATGGAAGCTTGCGTGATTATGGTGATTTCTTCGGGAAGTGGAAACAAAAACTGGTACCCCATGAAGACACGCCGTATCTTACAATGTAATTTGACATTTGTACCCTTAAATGAGCGCACGTTTGCAAAAAATAGCTTCTGTTATGCGTTAATGTGTGACGCCATGCACAATAGAAATGTGGGCCTTCAACATTTATCATCGTCCATTTGATGAGATTAGTAACCAGGATTTGTTCTCACGTTCTCACGTTAATGGGTGTTCTTATTAGAACCCATCCCCTTCCAGTGAGTTAGTTAAATAATTAGATGTTTTTATAATAGTGAAAATAGATATTTTCATTGACCAATAATAGAGTGACACCTCAGCTATTTATAATTGTGTTGTACAATATAAAACAATAGATATTAATTCTTTGGTTTTCTTTGTGCTTGCTTTGTGTGGTTGTTGGATTAGTTGCAATCCCCAACTTCTCTTAGTTGATTGCTTATGTGGTCTATTAACATACATTGTGTTTGTTAATAGCTTTGTGATAGTTTTTGTTTTGAACTCGACGACCGATTGCTAGAGTTCAGTCCATTATGGACTAGGTATGCTTGGTGAACTTGGTTTGAGAGAAGTTTGTGGTTCTCATCTCTTACTTGTATTATCTGTCTGATGAACTTGTAATGGTTCAGTGATGATGAGTCCTGTCACAACCTTGTATTTATTACTTATTGCTGCATGGCTATGTATTCTATCCGCTACGTTGTAAACTAGTCAACTTGGCCTTGGTCTTCTATCCTTGTTTTGTCCTCAGCATCCAATGATTTGTTTTAATTGAAAAGGTATCGTTTGATGTCTTATAATTGAGGACTCTTTCTCTGAGACATAGAGTACAAGAAATAGCGAGGCTTGTGAGGCATGAAACAAATAACAGAACCGGTGAGTCTTCTTTTTCCTCCTTTATGTAAGTTTCTTTTGTGAGAGCTTCTTTGAGTGAGCTTGAGAGGTGTGACGGGAGAGGCTAATCTCCGTGAGTGGTGGAGGGGCTAAGCAATCCTGAAGTGGTGTGTGTGAGCCTTATTGGGTGTGTCTCGGAAAAAACGAAGAAATATTTAATAAATAAAATTAATTAATAAATAAAATAGCCAAAGAAAACCGGAAAATAGATGAGACAAAAAATAGCCAGAGCTCGTGCTATGCACGATTTCCTTCAAAAGTATTTGTCGCCTCCCACGGTGCTAGGAGCATTGCAACGACCATTTTCCAGGACACGGTGGCTAACGAACGTTTCTTTTGAGCACACAAACGAAAGTTCCGGCGAACAAGGAACAAAGTACAGAAATATTTCAGAATACTTAAGTGTGATTTTGCTCAAAACGTTTGTGCTAACTATGTTGTGAGATGTATTAACGTGTGTTGTTGCAAAACACCTGTCAGGTATATATATGGACAGATTTGTAGTGTGTTAACTGAGCTTTAATTGACCTGAACGTTGGACATAAATGACCAGCACGTTGGGCATTAATATGTCAAAAACTGTCCATTTAAAGAAGCATTAAATGATAAGAACTTTGGGCATTTAAAGGTTGTCACGTCTTTGAGCAGTTCTGGTGCGACTAGACCAGAAGCCTTGGAGCAATTCTGGTGCAACCAGACCAGAACCCCCTTCTGGTCCGAACAGAAGCAGAGCAGTTCTGGTGAAAACAGAACCCCCTTCTAGTCCGGACAGAAGTAGGGGTGAGCGCGGTCCGGTCCGGTCCAATATTTGTTCGAACCCGTACTCGTACCGTGACTATTCAAACGGTTCGGTTCGGTCTTAGACCTGAACCCATTTGGTACGGTTTCACTTTCAAACGGGACGGTTCCATGTCATATCAATACCAAACAATGCCACTTTTTCCAAGTGTTTATGGGGAGATTAAAGTTTAGCCATCCTTCAATCAATTTTCATTCTCCCTTCGTCCCAAATTGATATGCAAGTCGATATCTTTTGGTCAACCAATGTTAGTTAAATTCTCTTAATTGATAATTAATTCAATTTTTAACAATTAAAATTTACATATTCGAAAACTACATTAAAATCTCTTCGAAGTTGCAAACTCCAACAACAACAACATCCAAACCTTAGTCCCCAAAGATATTGGGGTCGGCTAACATGAATCGATACATGATATCACAACCAAAAGGAAAAGAAAGAAAATAAAGATAAAAAAGATAAACTATCACAATTAAAAAGATAATATAAAAAGAGATGAATATACATAAAAATGATAAAATAAAAATAGCTACAAATAATGCTTATATATATATAAGGGTAAAAAACAAGGAAAAAAAGATGAGGGAAAAAGATGATACGAGAAGTTGCAAATCAATTTGGACAGAGGTAATATTACATAATTAATAATTTATCTGGAAATTTATTAATTATGTAATATTACCTCCGTCCAAATTGATTTGCAAACTTAACTTTTCTTGGTCAAACAGTTTCATTTTATTCACTTAATTAGAATAATGTCAATTTTTAATTATATTTAATTTGGAGTTGCTGCAACTCCAAATTAAATACAATCATTTGACACATACAAATTTCTTGTTTGTTTACTTATATATCATAACATGTAGAAATATAATTCCGTTAAAAAGTCAAAATTCTACGTGAACATCTAATGTGTATAATTTGATACCAAAAAATTATTGTATTAATTTAGTGTTGCACAAATTAGATCTTCTCCAATATTACTTCTACTAAACTTATTAGATCATTGCACTCAACTACTTGATCTTTTGTTCACGAACTAATTGAAGAAGGTGATTATGACAGTTAAACTTTTGATTGCTTAGTCGCATAAACGCATTGAGTAGAATATCATATAAAATCTTTTGCACTAAGCTAGGAGTTTTCAACAAAACATCTATCATGTAAGGGTGCATTAGAATTAAGAAGTTTAGAACATTACTTAACTCTTGTGTTTAGAGAAAATTGTTCACTTGATACCGAAACTAATGACTATGGGTATGATTAGTTGTGAATTTTTTCTCACTTACTAATAGGTTGGTCTGCATTGGGGATGTTTAGTTTTTAGGAGAATGCATTTGGGGGGAAAGTTTACTGAAAAGTTGTTGCTGACATGAGGATGTCACTCATTGACAATAATTTAATTTGGTGGAAAAACTCTTAATGTAAGCAACGTTATTAATTACATTCCAGTGAGTAATATTACAAGACTATTAATAGTCACAGAATAAATTACGAAACTAAATCAACGATTTTCATTACGAAATTTATCAATTCAGGACCAGAAAGATAGATAAACCTAAATGATATTTAAAATTTTTGAAATAAAAAATAAAATAAAATTCATGACAACTTAGGTCCTAGATTGATAGTCACAGAATAAATTACGAAACTAAATCAACGAAACGATTCTGATTACGGAATTTATCAATTCAGGACCAGACATTGATAAATTATCAATTCCGGACCTGGGAAATAAATTGTATCTGTATAGGACTCGAATGATGGAAAACTATCAATTTAAGACCTAACATTTCATTGCTTTTTATTTATTTTATTTTTTATTAATTCCATTGCTAATTTTTGATAAAATTCTCTTCACAAAAGTTTATTAGTTTAATAAACCTGAATGATATTTAAATTTTTTGAAATAAAAAATAATAATAAAATTCATGACAACTTAGGTCCTAGATTGATAGTTTTCAATCATTCAGGTGCTAAATTGATAATTTTCCATCGTTCAGGTTTTATATTGATAAAATTTCTTTTTTTAAGATCCTTTTTAGGAGCTACACTAAGTACCTTCTAAAACAAGTACGTAGTACTATCATTTGATTTGATGCATTTATTGTTGGATATTCATACATATATCAACAAAACTCCATATGTGATATATATATATATATATATATATATATATATATATATATATATATATATATATAATAGCTAAATCCATATAAATCCATGAAATCAAATATGTATGAACTAAAATTAGAACAATACCTTGAGAATTCATTTGCATTAACACTTTAAGAAGACCCGGAATCCAACACGATTGATCGGCCTAACCTTCCAGTGCTATGTACCGTATGAGATTATCTCTAGTCCCACACAATAGATGGGATATTTATAGGACTAGTTTAATGTTGTAACGGTTGGCCCCTTAATATTCTAATAACTCCTTAATTATTACAACAATTATGGTAATATTTAGAACAATTTATTAGACCATTTTCCGTTACAATATCTTTACTGTTATCTCTTAATTTACACGCACCGGGGGTCATAACCGTTGTATCACTTCAGTGTAATATATTTAATTTGACTCGTCACCAAAAGAAATATATTATCCTGGTATCTACACTTTTATTATTTCATGAATAGCCACTGTATTATTTATCTGATGGTAAACACATTTTAATTAACGACATATTAGGCCCCTTTTATTGTTTTCCAACAATCTCCCACTGGGCCTTATATGTAATTCTTAATAAAATGTGTTATCTTTATGAGCTCAAAAATACCATCATATAAAACAACATCCTTAAACAATCTGGTCCATCAGTCACACTAGTATAGAACCATTGCAGCATTTTGTTATGTTAAACATAACTATACCATCAATGATTACTAATATCAATATAACATAATGACATAGATCAATCATGAAATGTGTAGCATGAAAATTACATGAAATGTGGCATGTGTACATGTCAATTTTCAACTGACCCTTCTTTAATAAACTTTAAACTTTAATAACTTAATTGTTCAGAATACACCAAATGTCTAACTTTATTCTGATCAGAAAACAAATACATCAAACATAACTTATAAACTCCCACTAAACTCGATGTTCCTTAAAATCAATGACTCCCAAGTGAGCAGTGTGCTCATGAAAAACTTTTGGTGGGTGACCCTTGGTTAAAGGATCCACTAGCATGGAGTTTGTACTTATATGTTCAATAGTGACCCTTTTATTCTGAATCCTTTCTTTAATAGCTCGATATTTCACTTCAATGTGTTTTGTCTTACTCGAGCTCTTGTTGTTGTTAGAGTAAAGCACCGTAGAATTGTTGTCACAAAATATCTTGATAGGCTTTGGTACTTCATTTAATATTTTTAGTCCATCAATAAAATTACGCATCCATATTCTGTGGTTTGAAGCTTCAAAACAGGCCAACAACTCTGCCTCCATAGTTGAGGTAGCTATCATATCTTGCTTAACACTTTTCCAAGATAACCTGAAGTAGATCTACTAGTGTCTTTGCAGCCAGCAAAATCAGAGTATCCAACGACCTCCAAATGATCTGATTTTCTATGTGTAAGCATATAGTCCATTGTTCTCTTCAAGTATCTCATAACTCTTTTGGCCGCCACCCAATGAGCCATTCCTGGATTACTGAGATATCTGCCTAGCATCCCAACAATGTATGCAATATCCGGACGCGTACAAACTTGGGCATACATAAGACTTCCTACAACAGATGCGTAGGGAATCTTTTTCATTTCTTGAATTTCCAGGTTTGGTTTAGGGAACTGATCGAGACTAAACTTGTCTCCTTTAGAGACAGGGGTATCACCCGGTCTACAATCTTCCATGCCAAATCTTTTAAGCACCTTATCGACATAGTTCCTTTGTGATAACCTTAAGATTCCTTGTGATCTCTCACGAAGGATTTCAATTCCTAATACAAAGGAGGCTTCACCAAGATCTTTCATTTCAAAATATTTTGATAGAAATCTCTTGGTTTCATGCAACATGCCTATGTCATTGGTGGCAAGAAGAATGTCATCAACATATAAGACCAAGAAAAAAAAATTACTCCCACTGAACTTATGATATACACAATCATCTACATCATTCATCTTAAAACCAAAGGATAAAATGACTTGATGAAATTTGTGATACCATTGACGAGAAGCCTGTTTTAGCCCATAGATGGATTTTGTTAATTTGCAAACCATTTGTTTGGGATCTCCTATCACAAAATTTTCTGGTTGCACCATATAAATAGTTTCATCAATGTCACCATTGAGAAACGCTGTCTTAACATCCATCTGATGAAGCTCTAAATTAAAATGTGCAACTAAAGCCATAATGATTCTAAAAGAGTCCTTTGATGAAACCGGAGAAAAGGTCTCTTTATAATCAATTCCTTCCTTTTGAGTATAAACTTTAACTACAAGACGAGCTTTATATCTCTCCACATTACCCCTTGAATCCCTTTTGGTTTTAAAAATCCATTTACAACCAAGGGGTTTACAACCTTCAGATAATGGGACGAGTTCCCAAACTTTATTGTCTTGCATAGATTTATAGTCCTCATTCATTGCAACAATCCATTTTTGAGCATTTGAACTTTTCATGGCTTGATGGAAGTTGATTGGATCATCTTCCATAACACCATTTTCTTCCTCATGTTCTGGAATAAACACAAGGACATCGTTCATTGTATCCATGCTTGACACATGTTCTTGGAGATATACAACATAATCACTTGGAATTGCGTATCTCCTTTCTCTAGTGGATCGCCGCAATGGAACATCTTCTTTTTGCACTTGTTCTAGAGGAAGTTGAGTTTGTTCATTTTGAACAATTTGTTCAGTTTGGAAAGGAGAAGATGAAATAATGCCTTGTTGAGGTTCCTCATTAGTTTCAAAAGAAACATCCATATGAATTGGTTTAGGTATTGAAATCAATTCTTCCTCAAAGACAATATCACTAACTTTATTCTTACCCCCAAACTCAACATCCTCGAAAAATATGGCAGTTCCCGTTTCAAAAATATTTTTATCCTCAGGATTATAAAATTTATATCCCCTAGATCGTTCCGAGTAACCAATAAAGTAACTACTAACTGTTTTGGGTTCCAGTTTCTTTTCATGTGGCCTATACGGCTTTGCCTCAGCTGGACAATCCCAAACATGAAAATGCTTTAAACTAGGCTTTTTACCCGTCCAAAGCTCATAAGGTGTTTTAGTAGTTGCTTTAGTTGGCACTCGATTAAGAATGTAAGTTGCGGTCTTTAATGCCTCACCCCAGAGGGATTCCGGTAAGATAGAATGAGAAATCATACTTCTTAGCATTTCTTTAAGGGTTCTATTACGTCTCTCAGCTACACCATTCATGCTAGGTGAACCCGGCATGGTGTATTGAGGGACAATCCCACATTCCTCTAGAAATTTGGCAAAAGGCCCTAGGCGTTGTTCACCTGAGCCATTATACCTTCCATAGTATTCACCCCCACGGTCGGATTTGACTTTCTTTATGCGTTTGTTGAGTTGATTCTCAACTTCCGCTTTGTAAGATTTAAACACGTCCAAGACTTGAGACTTTTCATGTATAAGAAATAAGTAAGCATATCTAGAGTAATCGTCTATGAATGACACAAAATATTGTTGACCATTCCATGAAGGAGTAGGAAATGGCCCACAAATATTAGTGTATTAATTCTAAGACATCTGTAGCTCTATATGCTCCTTTATTCTTATTTTTGGTTTGTTTTCCTTTAATGCACTCAATACAAGTATTGAAATCAGAAAAATCAATGGAATCAAGTGTTCCATCAGACACAAGACGTTCAACTCTATTTTTAGAGATGTGACCTAATCGTTTGTGCCATAAAAAACCAGATTGTGCATTATCAACCTTTCGCTTAGTGCCTCGGGTGTCAGTATTCAAAACATTATTATATGAAGTTATTGTTTCAAGCATGTAAAGATTGTCATATGACATAAAAGAACCAGCCCCCACATTACTTGAATTTAAAGACAAATTAAATCGGAAGTTTCCAAAAGAACAATGATAACCTAATTTGTCCAAATAAGAAACAGAAACCAAATTCCGCCTAAATGATGGAACAACAAAAGTGTCTTTTAAATCCAAATAGAAACCAGTAGACAATAACAATCTAAAATGTCCAATAGCCTCCACATCCACTGCTTTGCCATCTCCCACATAGACGCATCTTTCAGCATCATTGGGCTTGCAGTGGCTCAGACAACCCTGCATAGAAATACTGATGTTAGATGTTGAACCGGAGTCTAACCACCAAGTATTTCTAGGCATTGAAGCTAAATTGTTTTCAGTACAAACCAAGGTAAGGACCGTACCTTTCTTCACTTTCCAAGCGTGATACTTGGTACAATCCTTCTTCATGTGTCCAGACTTTTTACAGAAGAAACAAGTTGTTTCACCTTCCTTATGTTTCTTCTGTACTGGATCTTTAGCACCTTCATTCTTAATGGGAGTTCTCTTCCTCTTTTTACTCTTATCCTTAGAGGTACTAGCCAAGTGAGCACTTTCTGTCTTATTTTGTTTCATCCTCTCTTCCTCTTGCACGCAATATGAAATGAGCTCATTAAGAGACCACTTCTCCTTTTGGCAATTATAACTAACCTTAAAAGGATCAAATGCAATAGGAAGAGAGTTCAAGACTATGTGTACGAGAACATCTTCCGATATCTCAATCTTAAGTGTCTTGAGCCTAGAAACAATATAAGACATTTCCATAATATACTCACTTATATTTTCTTTTCCTGAATACCTTTTGGAAGTAAAGTCTTTTAATAACATGCTTATTTCCGCCTTATCGCTTTTAACAAAACGTTTCTCAATTTCAGAAATGAAATCATTGGCATTAGTAACCTCATCGGATACAACACCCCTAAAAGATTCTGGAATGCCACGCTTTATGATCATAAGACTTAAGCGATTCGAGCGATCCCACTTCTCATAGTACCTTTTTTCATCTTGGGTACTACCATCCGTAAGAGAAGCAGGTTGCTCTACCCTTAATGCTAAGTCAAGATCCATGCAGCCCAAAGTTATTAGAATATTTTCTTTCCATTCCTTAAAGTTAGTACCATTTAGGACAGGGATGGAGTTGAGATTGACAGATATGCTCGAAAAATAACTGTAGAAATAACAAGACAATAAACATATATTTTAGTGAAATTGTAAAATGTTTTTAACCCATCACAAGATACCAAATGCACCATTAATATTTCATCTTTGGACAATAATACTAATTGCTAGTGGTACTCTTGTTGTAACAATAAAATATAACAATAATACATATAAAAGAAAAATACACCTTTGGGTTGATTTTTTTTTAAGTGCAGCCTTATAATTGTTATATATTTATTATTACCAAAATGTGTATATATATATATATATATATATATATATATATATATCTTGATAAAATATTAATCTTCATTTGGGCCGATTAATATTTACTTGAACTATATACAAAGTATATACTATGTTTAATATTTCATATGAGCAACTTACATAATAGGATCACTTTGGTGACATATTATTTCTATATACCCATTTAAATATTAAACTCCTTTTATTTTACAATTTCATCACAGTTCAAAAATTCTTACCGCAATACTTCTTTAAAAATTGGCTTACGGCAATCATATAAATGTACATGATCAGCGGCAATTTGATTCACAATGTTTGATAATAATTATAGCATGAAATTAATCAAACTTAAAAAATTGCTAGCCGGTTTAAAAATCAATAGTTCAGCAGTAATTCATAATATTGTATGATCAAATTAATGAAAAACAAACTTTAAATATCAAGATTTTATCCAGGCACACAACTCAATGGCATGGCAAGAGACTTTTGAGCATAAAAGAAAACGGATGCCACTTGATTATCTTTGAGCACCATATTTTCATATATGTTAAAGTATTGATTTAAAACCACAGTAATACGGAGTATTATGTCAATGCAAAATCGCAGAGGCATTAATAAAAAAATGCGATCAATGCATGAAACAGAAAACGTGGGATCGATTAGAACAAATGAAGCATTTAATTATGGATCAACATGCACCGAAAAAATCAGACGACATGAATCGATTTCATCCGATCGCTTAATCAAACACCCAACGAAAAATGATACAATGTTTCATGCGAATATGAATCTGGCAGAGGACAAAAATTGAAGCAGTGATATTCTTGATAAATGAATCGACAAAAAACCTCACTAATTCATCACTTAATAATCAATAATAACATGCCGCACAAGACTCCAATAAAAAAACAAATTCCAGACAACACGATGAACACACGTATGGAATCAAAAAAACAATTCCATGGATCTATAATGGTAGACTCTGATACCAATTGTTGAATATTCATACATATATCAACAAAACTCCATATGTGATATATATATATATATATATATATATATATATATATATATATATATATATATATATATATATATATATATATATAATAGCTAAATCCATATAAATCAATGAAATCAAATATGTATGAACTAAAATTAGAACAATACCTTGAGAATTCATTTGCATTAACACTTTAAGAAGACCCGGAATCCAACACGATTGATCGGCCTAACCTTCCAGTGCTATGTACTGTATGAGATTATCTCTAGTCCCACACAATAGATGAGATATTTATAGGACTAGTTTAATGTTGTAACGGTTGGCCCCTTAATATTCTAATAACTCCTTAATTATTACAACAATTATGGTAATATTTAGAACAATTTATTAGGCTATTTTCCGTTACAATATCTTTATTGTTATCTCTTAATTTACACGCACCGGGGGTCATAACCGTTGTATCACTTCAGTGTAATATATTTAATTTGACTCGTCACCAAAACAAATATATTATCCTGGTATCTACACTTTTATTATTTCATGAATAGCCATGTATTATTTATCTGATGGTAAACACATTTTAATTAATAACATATTAGACCTCTTTTATTGTTTTCCAACATTTATCATTTATAATTAACATTAATTAATTGTTTATTCGGAGTATCAAACAGAAGTGTAATAGCTACAACCTTTTTACAATCTTGTCGTTCATCGACCACTAACCATCACTGATTTACACTTACATTACCCCTCACATGCATTCCCATAATTTCGCTGTATTTTAATATTATCATTTGATTTGATGCATTTATAATTATATATCTAAAACAATTCATTTATACACATTTATGATCATTTATACCTGAACCAAACTTGTTGCGTACGGAGTGTAATAATTAATTACTAAATTTGAATCACAAATAACTCCATGTATACCATTTATTACACACTCCTATTACATATTTTGATTTAAACTGTCTAAACACTATGGAGACTGGAGAGTGATGTAAGTGGTTGAATGAAAATATTTCAAAACAAAATTGTTCCTTATATAGAAATAAAACGGACACTTGAATGCATTTATAGACACCTCTATCACTAAACCAAACACATGATACTATTAAAAGAGAAAATTTCCTACATGGGAGTAAAAAAGTTTTTAAATTCTAAAATAGGACTATCATATTTTTATTCCCCGAACACGAGTAAATTTCTGCCAAGTTTGGCATTACTAGGGTTTAAGCATGAACATTTTTTTCTCAAACTTGTTAGAATTACTCCTATTATGAGAATAAAAACATGAAAGTCTCATTTTCGAATTTCAAAACGTTTTTAATCCTATTTAGGACAATTTATATACTATTAATAGCTTATAACACTCCATAATTAAGTACGTAGTATATATTTGCTGGGACATTATAAATTAGCTTTAGACATAAAAATTTACATATTCTGTACCAAATTAACACAAAATATACTTTCCCTTTTTTCTTTATTTACTCTATAGGTAAGAGAGAGTTTCGAACTCGAAACGTCTTGTATTAGAGACTCGATCAGAGACCGCTTTTATTATCACTAGTGTTACTCCATATTTATTAAGCGCATGAAATACCAATACTAGAAGAAGCCATAAACCGCTCGGACGGTGTCCGCCGCACCAACGATCTGATCTCCGGCGAGAGCATATCGTACTCCGGGACCTCCGGAATCGTCAAACGCTCTGGCACGTCATCGGAATTCTCACAAATGGCCTTGAGCAACCCGCTCCGTGACGCCTCCGAGACTCGGAACTGCTGCTGGCGCTGCTGCTTAGCGCCACCGTTACCGTCGACGGCAGCTGGTTTGTGCCGGAAAACAGATTTCAGAAGCTTCTGGAAGGACCGAGAAATCTTGGACGACGGAGACGAGTGCGCTCCCTTAGGCGGCGGCGGATGAAGCTGTATGGTCCGGCGGCTGCGGTTTTCGGGTAAATGGGGCATCGAGAAGCTTCTAGAATCTATAGCTGAGTTGAGCTGGCGCTCGAATGACCTCAGCTCGAATGAGTCGTAGAGAGAGCTTCCGCAGTCCCACATTTGCTTCGTCTTTCCGGCTGAAACGCCGTCGACGGCGGCGGTGGCGGTGGCGGTGGCGGGTTTTGGATCTTGGGGAGTTTTGTCCATTGCTGATGATGATGATGGAATGGTGGTTGTATTGCTTGTATATATACACACGAAAGCGTGAGAGAAGCGAAGGGTAAAAGTGTAAACTTCATTTTGGATTTGATACACGTATTTAGTTAAGTTATTTCGCAGGCTGAGGGAAATTTTGAGCCATTCGTATATACGGAGTATAAGTTGGTGGCGTGTAGGATTGTGCATTACTGCTTTGGCTTTGACTTGTTTTTGGGGTGAAAGCCATTAGAGGTGAGTAAAATTTATAATTTTGTTGATAGTTGGTGCTCCAAATTCCAATATTATAAAGAAATGGGAGAGTTTTCCACAAGGGGACCGTAGTACAGACTCAGGGGGTTACCGCCCCCACCAAGCATTTTTTTGGTGTATATATATATATATATGAACCTCCAAAAAATATTTTCGCCCCCCAAGATCACTTTCTTGGATCCGCCTCTGGTTTTCCAAATATGAGTAAATAAGTTTTGGAATTCTGAAAGAAACTTTTATGTTAATTTGGAGTCAGTTTTGTCAAAACAGTTGCAATATCGACGACTCCTACTTCAAGAAAAAAACATATCAGTCATATTTTAGAGTTTCAAACCACGCTTACTCTTATTTATGACAATTTCCCTTGAAAAATCAATTCTCACACTACCTGTTTGATTACTTAACATATCACTCAAGAAGAAAACATATCACTCATATTTTAGAGTTCCAAAACATGCTTACTCCTATTTATGATAATTTTCCTTGAGAAATCAATTCTCACACTGTCCTGTTTGATTTCTCAAGAGCTTAAGCAAGTTTTGATGTTAGAAAAATATCTCAAATCACCATTTAAGTTCATCAATTTAAGTATGAGTTGCGTTCAGCCAGAGGACTCTCACTCTTTGGAATTTGGTAATCCTTATACGTAGTACTCCATAAGACAGACTACTACAAGTATGAGTATTGTTTGTGAATTTCAGTTTTGGATTACTTTGGTGGTTTTGATTTTTCTATTTGATTTGTCAATTTTAATTTCTTCATTACATTTCTGTATTTTATTTTGCCATTCTCTGTATACATGTGACGTGGAAACGAGTCGACACAAGTTTGAGCTCGGGTAATTTCAGTTCGAGTTCAGCTTCTAATTTTGAAACATTTGGCTACAAAGGTGTTATTAAGACTGAAAAATGTACAAACTATCATAAAATAAGCGTTTAATTATAAGAATCAGAAAAAATGATTTGGAAAATGGATCGGTAGAGTTTACATAAACTTGCAATAAATTATAGACAAATTTTATGGTACCCTCGATGTAATATACTTTGCATTCATGAATCAATTAGAATTTTACAGTATACGTAGTATTATACTTGAATAATTTAAGCATAAACAAGTGATAAAATGACTTAATTAATTAGCTAGACCATTCAAATATATAATAGGTAGATACCCTTAGCACTCACCTAAAATTTTGAATTACTGCTTTGGCTTTGGCCTTGGCCTTTTTTCTACTACGTATTACTCCGTATAAATAAAAGAGCAGATTTTAGGGTTGTTTAATCACTTTAATTAATACTGTTATACGTGTTTCGCAGTTTGCAATTTTGGGTTTAACACGTTAACTCCTATGTTAAAATTAATCATATATTTGAACAAAAAAATAGCGATTTGAAAATCACGTGTCACCATGTATAAATAAATCAAGCATGCAACTAAACTTCAAGTAGGGATGGATCCAAAATTTAAGATTAAGAAGATGATTGTTTTTACTAGTGTAAGAGTATTTATTTTTTTTATTCAAAAAAAATACATTAGTAGTTTAGTCAGGGGGACCGTAGTACAGATCCAGGGGGGTTACCGCCCTCCCACCAACATTTTTTTTTAGTGTATATATATATGAAAAATAATTTTCTCCTTCCGAAAAAATATGTTAAACCCCCCAAAAAATATTTTCACCCCCCCAAGATGACTTTCTTGGGTCCGCCCCTGAGTTTAGTACATACATAACATTTAACATAGGAGTTAACGTGTTAAACCCAAAATTGCAAACTGCGAAACACGTATAACAGTATTAATTAAAGTGATTAAACAACCCTAAAATCTGCTCTTTTATTTATACGGAGTAATACGTAGTAGAAAAAAGGCCAAGGCCAAAGCCAAAGCAGTAATTCAAAATTTAGGAGAGTGCTAAGGGTATCTACCTATTATATATTTGAATGGTCTAGCTAATTAATTAAGTCATTTTATCACTTGTTTATGCTTAAATTATTCAAGTATAATACTACGTATACTGTAAAATTCTAATTGATTCATGAGTGCAAAGTATATTACATCGAAGGTACCATAAAATTTGTCTATAATTTATTGCATGTTTATGTAAACTCTACCGATCCATTTTCCAAATCATTTTTTCTTATTCTTATAATTAAACGCTTATTTTATGATAGTTTTACATTTTTCAGTCTTAATAACACCTTTGTAGCCAAATGTTTCAAAATTAGAAGCTGAACTCGAACTGAAATTACCAGAGCTCAACTTGTGTCGACTCGTTTCCACGCCACATGTATACAGAGTGGCAAAATAAATTACAGAAATGTAATGAAGAAAATTGACAAATCAAATAGAAAAATCAAAACCACCAAAGTAATCCAAAACTGAAACTCACAAACAATACTCATACTTGTAGTAGTCTGTCTTATGGAGTACTACGTATAAGGATTACCAAATTCCAAAGAGTGAGAGTCCTCTGGCTGAACGCAACTCGTACTTAAATTGATGAAATTAAATGGTGATTTGAGATATTTTTCTAACATCAAAACTTGCTTAAGCTCTTGAGAAATCAAACAGGACAATGTGAGAATTTATTTGTGATATGAGTGATCATGTTTTCTTCTTGACTGATATGTTAAGTACACATTTCATACACTCACATACACACCGTAAATAGCCCAAAAAATTACCATTTTTTTACCCGTCCCTCACGTGCAAATACAACCCCACCCTCTCTTCCTGCAGCCCCCTCCCGCATCGTCCTTTCTTCTCCCCGTAGCAGAGGTCAACACATACAAGGTGTGAAACAAATTTTAAGTATTCACTTAAAATTGATCGCAAATAATAATATGTGAGAATATTGGGTACAATCTCTAAATATGAATCCTCTGATTCTTCACTTGCAATTTGACATGAATCGACGAATATGAGCCTCCCGGGATATATGGCTTGATCTTCAATTGAATTTCAATTCAATCTTCATATGAGCATTTTCAAATCTTTAAAGATTCGTTCTTCATATCTTCGAATCTTCAAAGTCTTGTTCTTCAGATCTTCGAATCTTCAAGCTTCGTTCTTCAGATCTTCGAACGTTCTTCAACTTTTGGATTTATTTTATTAAGAATCGACGAATGAATTAGGGGGTGAAAATATGCTTTTCTTCGTGAACACGAGTAAATTTCTCTCCTCCTTTCCTCTCAACTGAGACCCCTATTTATAGGTGTGAAGGGGTGAAAATATGGGTTTTGGAAATTCGTTCATATCCCTTGGGCCTCAAATAAAATGGGGTTTGGGCTCTATTTGTTTGCATTTAGTAGCTAGAAAAATCAGCACTTGTTCGATGTATATGAACAACCTTTTTAACAAGGTTCGCAGCCATTTTCCATTCATACGGATGAATTTCTTAACCATATTCATTGCTCTCTTTATCAATTTGATCATGACTCTTATTCATTGGGCTACTATTTAATAATGGACTCAAAATAAAGAAATTAATAGGACCGGTCCATTCTTTTAAAGATTTAATTTATAATTAAATTAATTGGATATTTAAATGACCCAAATTAATTTAATCATTGCATTTTATCCGAACGGATCCATATTAATATTTTATAAGGCCCAACAACCATAAGAAGCGGCCCAATAGAGTCGACGTTGGCTCAATACAATTCAAAAGAAGCCCAAAATGATTGAGAATAATCTGGTAGATTTTAAAGAAGTCCAATAATCATCACAACTGGCCCAATAAATTTTATATGTCCACACAAGGGTCTGAGACTTCAAAAACGAAATGAATTTTGGTGGCTTTGTGAATGAAAGTATCATTGATACTACTATGGATGATTTTTGGGCTGAATGGGCTGAAACAGCCGATGGTTCTCGAGCTGAAGGAGATATTCCGGTGGCGGCTGAAGTTGAAGGAGAACCAGCGGCGGCGGCTAAACTTGATGGACAACCGGCGGCTGACTTGAGGGAGAACCGGTGGCGGCGGAACTTGATGGAGAACCGGCGGCGGCTGAACTTAACGGAGAACCGGCGGTGGCGGCCATGGACGACGTCCCTGAGCTTGGTATGAGTTAGTGGTGTTGATTTCATTGACTTTGAACTTAAATATATGTTTGTTCTTCACAGACAATTCTCTGTATTTGTGTAGTGTATAATATCGTTTGTGTGTTTGTGAAGTGTAAATAATCTTGTCTGTGTTCAAAATGTTTTGAATTTGCTTATGTCTGTGTGTAAATAAACTTATATTTGAAATGTCTGTGTGTAAATATACTTGTGTCTGTGGCCATATGTACTTATGTCTGTGCGTAAATCTACCATTGCCTCTGCGTAAATGTACTTATGTTTGAAATGTTTGTGTGTAAATATACTTGTGTCTGTATGTATATATACTTCTGTCTGTGCTTAAATATACCATTGCCTGTGTTGGTCAGATGGAGAAATTCAGCAAAATGGGAGTGACGATGGTTCAATAAAAGCTCCGGATGTTGGTATAGAATTTGATAGCAAAGAAGCGGTGTATGATTTTTACAAGACATATGGGAGGCTGACGTGCACTTGTCGTGAGGTGCACTCAAAATAATTTTCAATACTAAACACTTATACGTAGTATAGCGTAGTAGAGTTCGTATCCACAGGGAAAGGAATATTTCTCTTTTTAATGATACTTAGTAAATAAAAAGGGGAGATTTGGATTGAGTGATTTAATTCAATTAAGAACTAAGATGAACAACCTATATGTGTTTAATTCA